AATCGGCTAATAACAACTTGATGATTTTGCTGTTACGTAGATTTAATCCTACCAATCCGACTGCGCGCTGCTTATTGCAACAGGAGCTAATGGATAAAAAGAGAACGACAGGTGACATAAAACTCTACTCGGCTAAACAGCTCTATCCAACTGCATATACACTAAATACACGCACTGATCAGCACATCTAAATACTACAGTGTATCAGCGATTACAGACTACTAACTCATTGGTTATTTCCTAACTATAAAAACTCCTTGCAAAGTCCTGCACGAGGAAGGGCACTATTGGTAACCATGAAGCTTGCTTGCTAGAAATCCCAGTTAAACCTGCGGCTATGACACGCTTTTATTCGTAAGTAGTCCCTATGTGGATGATGCGATAGCCGACGGATAAAGGTAAATAAATAAAATGAAGGTAAGGTAAATAAATAAATTAGGTTTCTTTGCAATGATTTGTGCATAGTCATAAGACCTTATGAAATTAGAACAGCTCTAATTTGTATTAGTTTATTAAATACGAGTTTAAGATTAACCTACGAGTATCTTCCCTACCGAATTTCTTATGTCTTGTTAGCTTAGTAAGCCGTCAATCATATTATTTGCTAAAGTTTGATGCCAATGAACTATTGCATGGGTAGATACAAGTTACCAACAAAATATCGTTCTCTCTAAGTAAGGATAGTTGACATATTATCCTTATCCATTTTCTTCTATTACAGTCTATCAATAAAGCTATCATTTTATCAACAATTTGATTGCAGTCTACCGTACGCTATTTATTGTCGTGGCTCCGCAGTCTGTGCTCATTGCAATTCAATTTGATAATGAGCTTGTTACTGCCATATAAAACTCTCAAATTATCAACTATGAAATTCATCAAGTAATAACTTAAAGGAGCGACTGTTCAGGATAGGTTTCTGATAGTAAACTGCAAGAAAGAATAGCGATGAATATTATATAACATACTGTAGAGACATAGAGAAATGATAGCAGTCTATTTCAATATACATCATTGACATTATCCGATCCATTGAATCTACTGTAGCTCAACAAAGAATGCCATAAATTTAATAAAAGATATTGCTTGTAACAAATATTATCATTTTGTATACAACGTTCGTAGTCCGATGATGAATTAATGATAGACATTTGCATGGTCAAATTGTAAGCCATACTAATAAAGATTGTACAATCGCAATCATGAATTTTTTAGACTAACCAGATACATCAACAACGGATTACAACATTGGATA